GGTAGAAGTTGGAAAACAAAAATACAATAAACAATCTGGCTCCTTCTCAGATCTTTTTCATTTTACCTATCACATTACTTGGCAGTGTATAGCACAGTGCTAGATGTGATTGTATGCATATTGGTTTGAGTAACTTGAGGTTTTCTTTCTCTGCTGGGTATGAGCGTCTGTGGGCCTGATTATTTTCTTGCTGGCTGAGAATTTTGGAAATGCTGCAAACTGTGACCCAGCAGAATCCTGGTGCGTATCAAAAACCTGAATGGCCAGCACAACGACCTCTGGTAACTGTGGAAGATGCTTGTTAAGGCATGGACAAAAGTGTTAGTCAGAAATTTAATCTACCATATAATTTCTCAATTTGATTAGCTGCTCGTGCTAATCAGCTGCCGAAATGGAATATGAGAGCAAATCAGTCTCTGTTGGAGTCAAAAACCACAGGATGTCTTCAGTTCTGCCCTATTATGACAGGTTTTCCCCATCCCTTTAATTTGAATTCAGTTCAGACTGCAAACAGGAAGCATCGCTGTAGGTGTTGTACTGATGCTCACAAATGTGCCTTGGGCTTAGGGAAACTGATATTTGTATAAGAATTTTTACTTTGTGTTAATGACAAAATAGGACAACGTAACTTTTTTTAGGCTGAGATGCAGCGATGCATCAGATATTGTTACTGTCATCAGTGTTAAGTGCTTGAGAAAAGAAACCAACTCTTCTACGTGTTTTCCACTTGAAATGTGACTGGAGAATGTTCATGTGCATTCTACTTATCGAAGTACTAATTGAAGAAATGAAATAGTTAACATTTCAGATAATTCTGTTATGTTATTGAACATTTTTCTGACGACATTGCCAGAAGATGCTTCTCTAGTATTTAACTGGAACAGAGTGGGAGATGTACTGTAATGAAAGTATTATTATTCCAGATGAATAAGTCAGCAGTCATTCTGATATTCATTATATGCTCTTAATTATATCACTAATTAAATTTCAAGTAAGAGAAACAAAATCTCTGTGTACTCTGTAATTTAAAGAACTGAGCATGTGTAACTGTTGGTCTGACAGCCGGGGATTTCTCTCTGAATTACTCTAAGGGATGCTTACAGTTCCTGAGGAGTTTAAATAAGATAGTTGTATAATTAGTGGGATTCAAAATGTAAATCCTTTCTTTTTCTTTCTTTTTTTTTCCTTCCCAAACTATCTTTTTTTCTCTCATTTAGAACACCTGTATTCCTATTCAAGAGTGTGGAGAGAAGAATAAAAACTAATCATAGAATCATAGAATCCCTAGAGTTGGAAGGGACCTTTAAAGGTCATCTAGTCCAATTCCCCTGCAATGAACAGGGACAATGTACCAATGTTATTTAAAAACAAACAAAAGCAGCAATCCACACATGAGAGACATTTCTGCTTGTTGACGATTTTGATTTAATTACACTTAGTGTAGAATTAATGTCTCTTTGTCAGTGAACTACAGTGGTGCATGTGAATTTGGAGCAAGGCAGAAGACAACAGAACTGCAGCTGCATGCTGTTAAATTTGAGCAAGGAGTTTGTGAAAGGAGACAGGTAATTGTTATCAGGTCGTGGTGGGATTGCAAACTGAACATTCTTTCCTTTACAAAAACCAGATTAGTCAGGGCTATAAATCAGCTTTGTTCGTCAGACGGAAGAACGCAGCGCTGTGCGTGCTTCTATCCAGTTTGGGCTACTGGCAGAGAAGTGAGTTAGGAAAGGAGCTCCTCTGGGGTTGTAAATTGAAATCAGTGGGACTGTGACAGTACGTATCGCTGGAGGATGTACCACCTCAAAGGCTGCTGATCTCACGTTATGCGTCTTCCAAGTAGTCCTTGGAGGACCCTTAGGACTGCTGCAGTCTGCTTCTGCTTAGCTGGCATGATCTGACAAGGATCACGGCTCAAGGTGGGAAGTTTGCTGGCATAAATAATATTTTATATAACCTCAGTTTCCTGATTCAGCATTTTGGATGCAAATAGTTTACAGGGAGAGGACTTCTAAATAACAGGACAGTGCAAGGGACAAGGGTATTTGGGCTGTGGAAGGGGAGGAAGGCACAAGGCTGGGGAGAACCCAGCAGCATACAATTTTTGGAGGAAGTTTAGGAGGAAGTTTTTCACACAGAGGGTGGTTGACACACTGGAACAGGTTGCCCAAGGAGGTTGTGGATGCCCCATCTCTGGAGGCATTGAAGGTCAGGCTGGATGTGGCTCTGGGCAGCCTGGTCTGCTGGTTGGTGACCCTGCACATAGCAGGGGGATTGAAAGCTGATCTTTGAGGTCCTTTTCAACTCAGGCCATTCTGTGATTCTGTAATTCTATGATTCCCCAAACAACACTGGAGGACTCGAGAGATTCTGGTAGTTTTCTTTTTTTTGTAGCTCCCTGATGTTTGTGTATCTTTTCTGATAGAATTGAATCTTAGTGGGATAGAAATGAGAGCGGGGCCTTGAAGCTGCTAGCAAATGAATGGAGCAGAATTTATTTTTCCTTTCACATTAAAGATGCTGCTCTAGTGTGTGCTTTCCCATCAGGATGCCATTAAAATCGTTACTGGGAAGGCTTCATGTGCATGACAGAAAGCTTTGCAAAATGCCTCTGGAGCACTCCTCTCCCTGATATGTCCCTGTTTAGAAGCCAAAGAGTTCTTCTCCCTGTGCTGGAGCAATGCCTGCTGAGCAACCAGCAGCACGTTACATTCCTTCAGCTGCAGCTCAGTGCCGGCAGTTCACTGTCAATTAGTGCCCTTTGCAGCATTTGGCCTTTTTGTCCTGAAATAATTGCTGTTATCATAGGTGCTTTATTGCCTTCATTATATTTAACATTTAAATATCAATGAAATAATATATTAATAAGTCATCTGTGCAGTAGTTATCTTTTAGATTTATCCTTGAAATTTTTGTTAAAGGAGTATATAAATTCAGCACAGACATAGGATTCTTAGAAGGAGGGTTATGTATTTGTTGATGAATTATGGGATACCTCTGCGTGCTGGGGGCAAAGACTAAGCCTCCTTCATCTAATATTTTGCAAGCAGAAATGCTGTATGTGATTAAAATAATGCTTTGTCTATTAGACAGAAATATTTTAAGAAATTTAAAAATATTTCTGAATCATCAAACCATAGTAAAGGTGCTGACCTTTCCACACGCAGATGAAGAATTGTGCTGGGAGACAGGGATATGTTCTGTGCCCTTGGCAGGGCAGAGCTCCCTGCCACATCGTGTTCTGCCTGAATCCAGCCTGCATCCTGAAATCACTGCAAAGTCTTTGAATTCCTATGGCTTCCACTGAATCCTGTAGTGCCATGTGTGACCTACTGGAACATCAGCTATGTGTGTGTGACTTAATTTTTGTGAGCTGACTTTATATACTGCTGTTGCTTATCGGTGCATACCTGAAATCTTCTGACCAAGTGCATAGCTCAATTTGATGTATCAGGCAGCTGAGGCAGGGGGTGAATTACATGTTTATGTTTGCAGAAAATACTGGTTCAATTAGAAATTCCATTAGTGAGTCCCCATTTGTGAACTTTCAAATGTGGATGTGATACAAATGGCAGATAAATATGTTGAGGGTTGGGTGTGCTGTACACACGAATGTATCCTTGTTCACGTGTGGAAGTTCTGTTGTACGTGCTTGTTTTGGCTGGCTGTCCACAAAAAGCATTCATCCCGCATCATTAGCCAAACAAAGTAATCAAGTAATAGCGAAGGTAGTGCGATATAATCTAATTTAACTTTAATCTGCTAATGTTGTAGATGACGGTTTTGCCAAGGGATTTCTGGGCAGAACTGTGAAATGTTTTTAGCTTGGCACATGACCAAGAAGGCTAGCTGAGTTCTGAAAACCTTTTCAAGAGCTTTTGATTAAACTAAGTAAACGCGTATTGTCATGACAGCAGAACAGTTCAGGGAAGGGTAGCATGGTGCTTCAGCAGATACTTCCTTCACCTCATGCACAGACACTCCAGAGCGCTGCCTCCAACCCCAGTGGTGCTGCAGGGCACTGGGCCGTTCCCGTAGGCAGGGCCTGCTGCCTGCTGCTGCACTGTGGGGACACGCGTTCGTCTGGGCAGCTGCAGCAGCACCAGGGGATGGGGCCAGCTGACATCTCTCATGGCAAACGGGCTCTGTGTTTGCACATTTGAAGCCCTGAGCATGGCAATTATGCCTTGCTGGAGTGCTTTCCATTTCCTGTGCCATCTTGATCAACTTTATAGCTTCTAATTTGCTAGAGAGTCATTGATATAATTAGGAGCTACGTAAATGGGAGCAGCACACACAGCCGATGATAATGTAGTCAGTTCATTTTTCATAAGAAGCATTAAGGGGGTCCCTACCAGCAGCTTGAGATCATTTTCTCTTCAAGCTCTTTCTCTTTAAGCTCTGCTTTGATAGAGGAGCAGAAATCCTTACACGCCTGGGTCATGGCATGCTTTATTACAGTCCCGCCTGCTTCCCACATATTTTTTTCATAAGGAAACCGAAGAGATGCACCCATCCGCCCGTGTGTTTTCAGAAAGTCCATTTGAGCTGTCTGGCTGGGTGAACCAGCTACATTAACAAGCTGTGCGAGGCAGCAGCTCTCATTTTGAGTACGAGCACTTCAAGTCCAAAGCTTTCGTTTTGTGTCACACAAGTTTGACGTGTCTCCAATCAGCTAGCCCCAGATTTTCCAGCACGGTAGCAGCTTAAAAAGTCTGGGTCTGTTTTCAGAGTAGGTAGAAACTCGTTTCCTGTGCTCCCTAGTGCTTGGATGTGGTAAATAGTAACCCTCATCCATTTTTATAGTTATTTGCTCTAAAAATATCTTTCTTGACATGTCCCAAACTGTCTGAGGTACCGGTCAGCACTGATTACTGCTGGTGCCAAGCAGATTTGTTGATGAGTGAAGCAGCTTGTTCTTGTGAATAGTGTGTTGGTGCAGAGATGTAAATAATTGATCAATCTGTGATTCAGTTTTATTTTCTTTTTTTCCCCAACAGTACTCTCAACAACAACAACATCACCCGCATTCCTGTTACCAGTTTCAACCATATGCCAAAGATCAGGACTCTGTGAGTAATATCTTTGAATATAATTATAATGGGCTAAGCCAGCACTTGGAGTATTTGTCATCATGTAAGGGCCAGGGCCAGGCCTCAACCTGCAGCGTGGCCCCACTCAGCCTGGCCAGAAAATCAATTTTTCTACAGATGATCATCATTCCATTGGAAAAGCTCTGATTGGATTAACTGGAAGAAAATAGAAAGACTATAAAATCAGACTGTGTATATCTCTGGATTTTAGCCATAGCATTTTCTTCAGATAAATTATTCCTTTAGGAAACACTCAGCTTCAGAATAAAAGCTTAAAGGAAGTCACTTTGTTTTGACCTCCAAAATCTGAAACCAAACAAGAGGCATTTACTCTTAGAAGTAAAGAAAAGGTAATAATAACTAGCCTAAATTATTTTCGTGCAGCTGAAAAATGAAATGAGGCAGGGGTACCATGTATGTATATGTAAAGTCGTGAGAGGAAAATTAACTGAGTTGACGGAAATGCCTCTTACTCGTGTCACTCTGTGAGGGATAGCCTCTCATTTACATTTACTTTCATAGAAATTAATGTAAGTATTTAAATGAGAACTACATTTTTTTAATTATTATTATTTTAGAAGAGAACGGATAAAGCAGATAATGGTAGGGTTAGGGTTCTTGTGCTTTTGCCTTTTCTCCTTCAACCACGGTGGTCCAGAAAATTTGCTTGGCTTCTTCAGATCAATCAGTCTTGTCTGTTACCAGAGCTCAATGTGTTCTGCCATTTTCCTTTTAGTTTAATTTCGGAGATGGCTTTGTATATAGCTCCCTGGAGGCTTACACTGACTAATCCTTCTCTGCTGTAATTAAGGGAAGAAGAAAAAAAAATAGAGGGGAAAAAAAAAAAAGGAAGGAAGTCATAAATAGGATTTATAAAGGGAAGCTTTTATATTGAATTCTGAGAGCCACATTTTATAGAACATGAATGCTGACCTGCTCTAAAAGGATTTGCTGGAAATTTAATTTAGGGTCTGTGGCTAAAAGGGCACCTTTACAAACTTGCATTTGTATTCATTCACCTTATGTTCTGTGAAGGTAGTTTCATCAATATTGAGTGGCATGTTTTAGTCTCCAAAGACTGCCAAATAACACGCAGTATCCTTTCCAGGAGTAGAGTGTAGGGATTAAAAAACCAGCATAGATAGGTGGAAATACAATAAAATGCTTTAATTTTCTGTATTTCCTTCCATCTGTCTCAACAGAGTCAGAGAAAAGTCATGAAAATAGCAATTAATGTAATACAAGCAAAGAAGTTGAATAGTATTTCCTAATTTCTTCCACTTCTTCCTATTCAAAGCTTTTTCTGTCTTTGAATCATCACTTCTCATAAATAATATTTTATTAATTATAATCATTGATAAAGCAAGTTTGCATAGCTATGTAATACTTTCTGAATATCTTCTGTTCAGATTTTAGGCTAATACTGTTTAGGTTTAACACAACTAAGTTGTGTTCAAATGGATAGTTACAAACAGCTCATGTGGATTTGAGCAGGCATAAAACTGATCAGCTTTTGTTCACCAATGAAAAATATTAATATGAAGATTTTTGGGGGGAGGGGAAGTGAAAATTGTAGTATTTTCTCTACTTTCCTGGGCCTTATTTCACTTAGTAACTTGTTTCTCCCACATTAATACACAGCCTCAAGGAACAGTTTCCATGAAATGAAATACCAATCTGAATCACAACGGCTGAACAACATCCACTGTTTAATCTCTTGGTTGTGGATGCAGATTCAGGTCAAATGGATCATTAGGGCTCTACGCTTTCCTTAAATGATCATCCACTTTTCTGCCTTCTCAGAAAGCTTCACATTTAGACATACTTTTAGAAGATCTTATAGGGAACCCGAGTCTGAGTGTCCCCTAAGGCCCAGCAAGGTGTGGATGGTGTTTTCCCTCTATATCTCTTTTACATGTTATGGGATCCGTTAGCAGGATGTTTGGGGCTGCCTATGCCACAGCTGCGTTTGCTGTGGTGGTTTTGTGGATAAACAGCGTTTTTGTCACAGCACTCAAAACAATCTGCTCATTTAAGAACAGAGAAGGAGAAATAAAGAGCATATTCAACTTGAACGTGACCTCTCAGGGGAAAAAGAAATAATAATAATAAAAAAAACTAGTAAGATTTGAAGCACTTGAAGAATTCTTTAAGAGAATCAACTCTCCTGTGCAACCTTTTTCATTGTCTTGTCTTTCCTTCTGCTAAGTTTCATTGATCTTTTAACCTTGATTGGAAGTGACAGGAATTAGTTTTTATTGATCTGCTTTCCTTTGCTTGAAACAGCTTTATTTATATTAAAGCATGTCCCTCATACTTATTTGCTTAATGGTAAATATCCCATTATCTCTGCACTTTGACTGCTGAGATAGGGAATTGTGTAATTTATTTAATTTTTTATTATTTATATTTAAGGGTAAACTGAAATTGTCCTGAATCACTTGCTTTTCATGCTTGCAGAGAATCAGTGTATCAAACTACTCGTGGCTATTAATTATTAATTAATTATTGATATTTAAATTATTAATTATCAAAAAACATATTCCATTTGCCCTGTTAAGCTTGACGGGCTGAGCTCCTCTCAAAAGCAGGCTGTGGAAAAGTTGAATGAACAAAACGGTGGAGCTCTGCTGATGCCCTCACCAGAGGAGCTGGTGAGGGGGTGACAGTTCACACCGCTAACACTGGGAAACCCAAAAACTAATGATACACATTTAATGAGAGGAAAAACAAAACAAACCTCGCCAACTCTGATCTGGGAAGATGCCCCTTTTGTGAAAAGCAAATGTAATATTCCCTCCTGCCTACCATACCCAGGATACAGGGAATGGGCCAAACTCCAGCTCCTGAAGGAAGTCATTCACACATCATAGCTGACTGCCATGGTAGGAAGGGACAATACTCTGAGCATGTAAATGCAGTGCTTTCTTTAGCAGTTAGAGCAGCATTGTTGTACGTAGGATAATTTCTGACTAGATGTTATTTGCTTCCCTTTCTTTGTAAATGCATTTATTTGCTTTCAGTCGACACAAAGTGTTCCAGACAAATTAATAACAATACATTTTACTCGAAATCTAACTTACTGCAGTGTTGATTAAATAGCTTTATAATCTCTAAAAAAACCAGTGTCTTGTAGCCATCCTTCTAAAACGATTACACTTCACAGCTCTCCCAGGAGGTGCTTTCCATCTCCACACAGCAAACTCAGTCCCAGATCTGCACCCTCCAGCTGTGGCTGCCCACCCCAGCATACAGACTGGGACCCACACCAGAGCTGGCAGCAGGAAGGGCTCACAGACAGACAGACACCTTCCCTGCTGGATGGACAAGCCTAAATCCAGCAACACCAATTGGGGTTGTCTTTTTTGTGTGCAGTGCCTGTAATACCAGTGAATAATGCTTTGTCTAACCATTTCTGACAGATCTGTTTTATCATTTCAGCTTTGCTAGAATACTGCAAATACATGAGTCATTGCAAAGGATGAAATAATTAACATCTTGGGCCTTTGTTTTGACCTAAACTTTGGTAGCTATTAAAAATACCAAATTCACTCTCTGAATGCATCATAATGTGGCAGACTTATTTTTTCCCAATGTGATCATGCTTCTGGAAGTGTGCAGTGCCAGGCATGAGGCATGTGGAAGGGAGCACTGCTGAGGGCCCTTCTTCATCACGAGCCCTGTCTGGAATCTAAATACTTGTCTTAAATTGCCACAGTAAAAAGAGCATTGGTGAATTCATACAGGCAACGGGGGACCATGCAAAGTATCAGTAGCCTCTGCAGATCTTTGATTTAGTTTTGTTTAATTACTATTTCTCGTTTATTTAAAAAGGAGAGAGGAGGGAAGAATTACCTATCGTTTGTTTTTTCAGTCTGGTCCTCTTGTTTGTAAAAGGCATCCTTTAAATTCACTCAGTTCCACCTCATTCATGCAGTTACTTCTGAAATGAAGTTCTAAAGTTCAGTATCTTCATTTCTCCAGAATGGTCACGATTACATAGTTATGAAAAACAGTTGAATTTATATGTAGGTGTTTCTGTGCATGGTATGGCAGAGTGGACAGCTGAGACCTGGCTGAGCCAGAGCCAGTAACCTACACTGATCCCTGTTACACTGCGGAGAAGAGTCAGGCAGCCTCGTACTTGTTTGCTGTGCTTTGTGCCTTCGTTATAACACCGCTGGTAACTCTGGGGCTCTTCCCTGTGTTGTAGGCGGCTGCATTCCAACTTCCTGCACTGCGACTGCCACCTGGCCTGGCTGTCCGACTGGCTGCGGCAGCGACGCACCATCGGGCAGTTCACCTTCTGCCTGGCACCGGTCAGCCTGCGGGGCTTCCTTGTGGCCGAGGTGCAGAAAAAGGACTTCGTCTGCTCCGGTAATGACACCAATTTGTTTCTCTATCAGCAGACGGCTTTGTATTGATACTAGCATAAAAACGGGGAATGGAAAATTATTGTGTTGTATCTGAATGCCACTCTGTAGCACTGCTGTTTTATTTTTATCATAGCTAAACTGTGTAATAATAGATCAAGTTGTTGTTTTTCTCAGCTTTATGTGAATTATTGGATTTCAGTTAATAATTCTGTTCTCAAATTATTATTTTTTTCCTTCGGTATTGGCAATGATATCAACAAAAGTAATCAGCTAAGTGGAGATAATTTGGCGTTTCTCAGGGGAAGAGCTGTACAGCTGACTGGAATATAAAGGAAAGGAAATAGAAAATGCTAATCTGAATCTGTTGATAAATGATTGGATTATGGAATGGCAGGGGCAGATTTTATCCCAGGGACTGAAGGAGGATTCTTCAGGAGCCAAAGCATTTCACTGTCTACAAGTTTCCTTGTATATAAATGAAGCTGATGGCCAACTTGCAAATTATGTGTCTATATATTAGGCCCATTCATCAAGCTTCCAGATCTGCACTTGGCTTTTGTGATAGAGATGCGTCTTACACAAGAAAAAAAAATGTAAAAAAATTGGAAAAAGAAATCTCTAGATTCAACTGAAAAGAAAAGTTCTGGCAGAGGAAAGACATAAGAGCATGTATGCTGTGAAAAAGAAGGGAAGATATCAGACACAATTTTGGAGATAATTTGGCAGACAAAATGGTAAAATTTGCAGGTCTACAGCCTGGTGTGTTAGACTGCAGTGTTACAAGATGCACAGAAGCTACACCACTTGTATGTTATCCAGACCTGCTGTTGGTAACAGCAGTCAGGCTAGCCAAACACACTGTGGGCCTAAGAGAGAAGCCAAACACACGAAAGCAGTATGAAACAGGGAAGGAAGAGGTACAGTTATGGTCACTTCTTTTATTAGAAATTACAGTTGGGAATACTGACCTGAATCAGACAGGAAGCAAGTATGGAGGTGTAGCAGGTCAGCACTCAGCAGCTGTATTAGTGCCAAGCCTATATGTGTCTGAAGAAGATAGGTCCCTCCTAATGCATATTTTAAATTAAAGGCCTGTAGTTTAGCCAAACAAAAAAAATTAAAGGAACATAGCGTACAGTAAGCTTTAGCATAATAAGCCCCAAGGCCCCTGAGCTCATTTTAGATGTTTGAGTTGAAGAAGACAGAGTTTGTTTGTAAGGAAGTTGCATTGTACTTAAATGTACCGTACCTGACATTACAGTAAAACACCACCCAATATATTTTGGTACCTGCCTTGACTTGCCTACTGGTTAGATACGTTTGTAACCATGAAAGCCTTTCTAAAGAGAGTAAATATAAGAACTGCATAACAGGTGTCTCAAGGATTTGTTCTGCTGTTTTGTACTTGTTTTTGCTTATTTGTCAGTCGCCATCTATGAGTCCACTTCCTAAAGCATCTCCTGATGCATGGCTTGACTCTTGTGTGTGTAAGTTCATTTACATGCAACAAAGAGAGAAATGGTTCTAACTTGAGAAGAGATGTTTAATCCCAAGCTTGACAATATCATAGCTGGTAAATTAATATCCAGCCCTGGAGGTTGCAGGAAGTGTTGTGGACACATGGAAAATGAAGTTGTGCACCAGTGATTTTTGTGGCATGATTTTTAGGAGGACTGTCCTTCTTCTGTGCAGTTGAGGAGATCTGAAAGTGCTCAGAATATCTGAAAAACAAACAAAAAAAATACATCAAAAGCTTAGCAAAAAGAAAATTTTAGAGATCTGACAATCTTGGCAGAGGAAGGATAAAAATAAGGGGATAATTGATTGAGCTATTAGCAGAATCTCATTTTACCAAAGATGTAACTAGAGCATGTCTGTCTTACAAAATGAAGCTTCAGATGGAGGGTGAGTTCAGTTATTTGGATTTATGATTTAGTGATCTGAAAGAAAAAGAAAATTGGTTTAAATCAGAAGAGGAGATAATAATTGCTGAACGTGAAATCTAACATAGACAGAACTCATCAAAATGGAGTTTTCTGTGCAGCCTTTTACTTCCAAAAGAAAAAAAGATTATTTAACAGCTTCACGGTGAACCAAGAATGTAAAAGAGAACTCTCAAAATTGCCCTGCTTTTTATTAAAGCATAAATTAATAAAAATTGAAGGAAAGAAGCTTCCGGTGAGACAGTTCATACTGTATCCCTTAGCCTTCATTTGGGAAATCACACATCCTGATAAAGCTGTACATTTGAAGAGCTTGTTTTAGTGGAGGACTTAGCAGAGAACTCAGGTTAGTATCTGCTGCTTTCACAAAAAACCTACATGGATTGTCAGTTTAAAGAGAGTATAAATCTTCTCTGCTTCTTATTACAGGTCTTACTGCTGATTTTACAGCTTCATTTGTTCCTGTTTGACTATGAAGTCACACTAGAACAGGAGGTGAATGGTGGACTGAACTTGTCCCTCTGCAAAGGAACTTTATACAGTTTAAGATTATATGAATCACTGTAACTACCCTCTAGCTGGCAGTGAAAGCTTCTTTGCATCATACTTACAAAGTGCTGAAATACAGTGTACTGAACTACTTTGTTTTAATACACGCTCAGAATTTCAAGTACTTGTATTTTTATGGCAGTGGGAATACATTACAGAAGAAGAAAAATCTCAACTTTTCCTCCACTATAAAATGGGCTTTATCAGAGTACTCCAGTTCAAAGCTTGTACTGCTGCATATTTCAGAGTAGAAAGAGGAGAATTAAATAATGTAGGGAAGGTAGAAAAATAACCCTGTTCAACAACTTCTGGTTGTTGTTTGAATCCTGTGCAAAAATACTTTTTTGTTAAATCCTCTTACGACAAACACTGCTTCTGAAACAAATTTTGAGTGCTTCAAGGAATAATGTAAACTGGAAAAGAAGAGGTGAAACGCTGACAGAGATGTGCTATAGCTAGAAGACAAGTTTCTTGTTTCCTTCTGGACAGAGTGCTATCTGTCCTATACAGTCAGGTTTATTAGCACTGTGTACAAGGTCTCTCAATATAAACTGCTGAAATCAGAGATATGTGCCAATATACCTGTGTAAACTGAAGCTAATTTTTTTCAAAAAATACTGGTCAGCTTGAGCATGTAAATTATAAAAATATTAATTCAAACAGCACTTGCAGGCAAGTGGTGAGTAGTAGAAAAGCTATTCCAATCTCACTTGTTTGTGCCCAGGAGCATTTGACTGAGAACTGTAGGTTAATGTGTAGGATTAAATAATGTGCAGTTGCCTGGAGAAAGGTTTGCAAATATGTCTAATTGGATTTGTGTTTCTGAGGAAGCAGGGGAAGGGTCATTAACAGAACTGAGCAGGGTTGGGACTGGCTGGCATCTCAGCACTGGGGAGAGCATCGCGTACTTCTGGCAGTCCTGTCACCCACCAGAGTTTTCTGGCTGGCTCTTCAGCAAGCTGTCTCCTCTTTGTACAGGAATCTCTCCTCCAGAGCCACCCTGACAGTGCAGCCTGCCTGGATCTGGGCCTTAGAAATATCTGTTCCCAAAGAAATCTTCAAGCATGCTCTTGCCCCATGCAGCTGCTTTGATTTAAAGAACTCTGAGAAGTGTGTGGTTCTGCAGCTCCTAAAAAAAGCCAAAATGTTGTGGAAGGGGCTAACCTGGCACCAGAGCGTGAGTGTCTCAGCTGATGAGCTGATGAGCTGCAAATAGGAGGAGATGCATCTCCACTCTCTTTCTTCACTATAACCTTGCAATTCACTTCCATGTTGCTGTGACAGGAGAGAGGGGAGCAAAGATTTGATGGCAGTTGAAATCCTACCTGCACTGTGATGCCTGGGAACTGTTCATATTCCCTTAACTAGCAGACAAGCATCTGTGTGTGTGTGCTGCCATATCCTCAGAGCCTTCCAGTCTTTGATTGGATCAAACCATGTTTCCTTGCTACGTTCAGATGTTTCATGGCCTCTTTCTTGGCTCTTTGTCTGTTTGTCCTTCTCTGCTCCCTTTCTCCCAAGCTCCCTTAGAATAATCTTTTTATTTCATTTTGCTCTCTCATGAGTTGTATTATTGCTCCTTGATTTTTCTTCTACCTGCTCTTGTTGACGCTGAAATTAATCTACATCTTGATCAGTTATGTCAGGTCATGTAGTGTTTTCTCACTCACATTAGCACATCTGTAAAGCTTTGCAAACTGAAGTAGAGGGTTCATGAAGTCACACCATTGGTAGCACTTATTTCTTAATTCTGCATTAAATCGGTGAAAGTTCACTAAGAGTTGCATCAGTCTGAAGCTGAGGTGAGAGAGTAATAAAAAGAGCCAAATGTACAGTGATTTCTGGCTAAATAAACTGATACTGAATTTAAGAAAATACTGGATAGATCTGAATCTTGGTAGAAGATCTAGTTTCTGTATTATACTCTGAAACTGCAGCTGAGATAGAAAAATAATGAAAATATGTTAGCTTCCTGCTTCTTAATGCAGATGGGAAGCTGGAAGGAGGAAGCAGATTTATTTGTTTAGGTGAGGTCAAATGGTCTTAAAATATAGCTGTTACTCTCTGGCCCTGAACACAAAACTCAGTGAACTGTCTTTCTCCATCTTGCTCTTAATAACTTCATAGCATATTGTTGAGGAGAAAACCAACAACGAGTAACTAATAAAATATCACTCCTCGAGCTTAGTGTCTTAATGAGAACATTCAGAAGATGCCAAAGGAAAAGTGTGTGGAGAGGGGAACTCCTCCCCATCTGTTCCTATTTAGAAAGCTGCACAATGGTATATCTGCATAATTAGCAGTGGGTCTGTTTCTTTCAGCATGGGATGTAGAGGTACTGCCAGCATGGAAGATTGGTGCTTCCTGGGAACTAAAAAGCAGGGAGGAATGTTTCCTAATGATGCAAGCTTTGCCAGCACAGGGCAGCAGTTACTGCTCCTGAGGGAACAGGGTGATTTCTCCCCATGCAGCATACCCCAGTTCTTGCAGAGTAGGGCTGCTAATGGCC